GCAACTAAGAGCGCGACTTCGCTCAAACCTCAGAGCAGCACTTTGAGTTACAGCTGGTGGACAACTTTGCAGTTGAAAACCTTCACTGAAGAGTAGAAGAAGGAGTAGCAGCAGTAGTAGTAGTGATAGTAGTGGTAGTAGTAGTAGTAGTAGCAGTAGTAGTAGTAGTAGTAGTAGTAGTAGTAGTAGGTCTTGGGCTCATGGGACAGCATTAAGTTGCGGCACCACAACTGCCATTTCATCGAGCGGCTGGGGGCTGTGTCTCCTCGCCATGCCAATGTGGAGATGAGGGCAAAGGGATCCAGCAAGCGCGCCATGCCTTGGAATATGCTTTCTCGCAGACTTGCCACGAGAATCGCGACAAATGCTTACTTGCAATCGTCCCCATCACCACCTCCAACACTCAACACAGCAGCAGCTGCAGCGGCGCTAATGTTGTTGCCAGTTTTGTTGTTGCTGCTGCTGGGGCTGGGGCTGGGGCTGGGGCTGGTGCTGGTGTTGGTGCTGGCGGTAGCGGTGGCGGTGGTGGCGGCTGTGTTGTTGTTGTTGCTGCTGCTGTTGCTGTTGTTGTTGCTGCTGCCGTTTGTTGTTGTTGTTGTCGTCGTCGCTGCTGCTGCTGCTGCTGCTGCTGTTGTTGCTGCCTTTGTTGTTGTCTTTGCTGCCGTTCTTGTTATTGTTGCAGCGGTTCTTCTTGTTCCCATCATTACTATTGATGGTCCTCTCGTTGTTATGATGATAATCTTCAGTTGTTCCGGTTGCTGAATGCTTTTTGGCGGCTGACGGTCTTCTTGCATTTTGTTGCAGATGGTTGTTGTTTGTAGTTTGTTGTCCGTTGTTCTTCTTGCTTGTTATTGCTCTTGTTCTTGAAAAACTGCTACCGCTCTTGCCCTGGTTAGTACTGATGGGTCTTGGTGATGTCGGTAGTGGCAGCGGTGGCAGGTCGTGGTGGCGGCGGTAGTGGTGGTAGCGCAGGTAGCGGTGGTCGGGCTAGTGGTGGTGATCGCGGTGCCTGTTGTTGCAATGCTGTTGCTGTGGTTGTTACGTTTACTGTTGCTGTGTTTGCTGCTGGTGTTGATGAGGATGATGATGACGGAGCGCTGTTTTAGCTGATGCTGCTGGTGTGGCTGTTTTTTCCAATTTTGCTGTGGTGCTGTTGCTGTGGTGCCGTGGTGCTATCGTGCTGTGGTGTTGTGGCGCTGTGGTGTGGTGGAGCTGCGGTGCTGTGGTGCTGTGGTGCTGTTGCTGTTGTCGCTGCTGTTGCTCTTGCTGCCCTACTTTAATGCAGTCCTGGTGCTTCATCGTGTATAATGTCTGAACTCCATGATTTCCAGTTGTCGCTGCTGTTGCTCTTGCTGCCCTACTTTAATGCAGTCCTGGTGCTTCATCGTGTATAATGTCTGAGCTCCATGACTTCCAGACATGAGGCGACCAAGATCTTGTGCTAATCGCAGTCCGTGGACAAGTCGTTCAGGCTCCATCTGCTGTATTGGAATGTTGTGACTTACATTGGCGACTCGGACCTCATGGGAGGCAAACGGCTCTCCCAATGTCCAAGCTCTCCAGCCTTGCCTCAATTCAGCAGGGACATCGAGATGTAAAATGTGCGATTCCTGCCCAGGGTGGCAGAGTCCGCAGTCTTGGCAGCCATCCGCTGCTTCCTGCGACTGCTCGGCCTGGGCAGCTGATCGTCCCGGTGGCTGATCCCCGAGTCGATCGTGAAATATGTACAAAGTCTTGCTCGCCGTGAAGCAGCTCTGCCTGAAGCTGACAGCTTGCAACAAAGCAAAGGGGGGCTCCAAACATAGACGTAAACCTACGAACACAAGCCCTCGGTGCCCTCAGCCCTAACCCGGCCTGAAATCTACAATCTCCAGCTTCTCCAGCGGAGTGTGTTGTCGAGCTAGAAAGAGCCGTAGTCCTTCCTCAAACGGATCCAGTGAAGCGGACATTGGCGCTCCATTTAGGCTGCAGAACATGCCTGGGCTTGAGAGTTCAAGGTTCACGCAGGCTTTACGATTTCTTTCACTACCACTGACTGTCTGTCATTCACCGCCTTACCCCCAGACATGACAGGCCTACTAGTGCCAGTAGTAGTAGTAGTAGTAGTAGTAGTAGTAGTAGTAGTAGTAGTAGTAGTAGTAGTAGTAGTAGTAGCAGTAGTAGTAGTAGTAGTAGCAGTAGCAGTAGCAGTAGCAGTAGCAGTAGCAGTAGCAGTAGCAGTAGCAGTAGTAGTAGTAGTAGTAGTAGTAGTAGTAGTAGTAGTAGTAGTAGTAGTAGTAGTAGTAGTGATAGCAGCAGTAGTAGATGACAATGAGGAGATTAGTAGCAGTCGTCGCCGTGTGGCGTGCTGTGGCCCAAACCCTCGCAAGCATAGGTCCATGCTAGCGGAGATACATCCCTCGCATGCAATCCAGACTCGCTGCCACACGGTGTGAACTCAAAAACTGAGGTGTGGCTGGAAAGCCGCTACGGCTGCTTTCCAGCAAACCATGAACATGAATGCCACCGGCCGGCACACCGCGGGCCAGAAGAGGCCGAGCGCAGTCCACGCCGTCAGACAACATCTGCTCTGTGCATGGCAGCAGATCGCGACAGAGGGACACCGGCGGAGCGAAGTGCTGGACTTGGGACTTGCCCGTTCTTTGCTAAGTTGCATGACGTTAAGCGCTTCAACCCTGTTGCCTTTGCTACTCGGGTCGTGGAGGGAAACTGAGCCACCGAAGGGCAGCTTGCGGCACTTAGAAACCTGCAAGATCTGCACAGTCCTAGGAGCTGGGACTTATACTGTTCATGGTATTTGTAACAGTTGATCTACATGTCATTTTACGCGTAGAACTCGCGTGGATAACAGGAGTGCGTCAGACGAAGATGCTGCACGAATGCCTCCTCTATATTGACAGCCTCGGAGACCTCGCAGAACAGCGGCGGTCCCAGCTCTGTGGCAGACGGAGGGACCTCGCAACGACTGCTGAACTGTGGCGGCGGCATCGCGCATCTTCGACTGGTTGGGGTGGACCTCCTTCGCGTGGGCGAGACATTATGCTCAGGTCCAGGAGCTATCCAAACCTCATTTGTGACCCCAGTCTGACCCTGTTTCTGCGAATCCGGGATCCAAGCTGGCAAGGTGACTTGAGCACGGCAGAAAGAACAAGACAGCTGGAGCGGCAGTCCTCCACGCCAAAATCCTGCGATTGCTTGAAGCAAGGCGGAACCCACCAGATGAAACCAGAAAGAAGGCAAGCATGACTGGCATCTTGCAAAAGGAATCCCTGCTCCGACTTCTTGAAACTCGTTGTTTGAACGCAATCAGCAGCTGGCGTCCCACTCTTCTGGACGATCTTCGAGGTCCCTGCCTCAGATGAAGCCAGACGTCGCTGTTAAGTCTAGTGGCGCGGGCCTGGGAAACCTTTCCACAACCCGGGATCGTGGAATCATTCCTTCTAAGACAACACAACCTCGAAACCCTTGCGTCGCGAAATCCTATACTATCCTATACCCAAGAGCCACCTGGATATCAGGAACACATTTAGATCTAGGGATGAGGCTTGGTGCTTTGGACGGTGATCTGTCGCAAGGGCGGCTTTAAGCAGTAGTTTGACTGAACCTGTCCAACGCTATCTCTGCCGTCCGTCGGGGATGCCTTCCGACTTTCTCAAAGTATTGTTTGCTCATTCCTCTTCCTTGCCATTGTTTGTTGTTGCTCTCCTTCTTCTTTTCGTTGCTGCTTCTTTCGCTAAGCCACAAAGGACAGATACTGTGACTGATGCTGCTGGTGACGAGACGACGACAGCAGACTTGCGGCCAAAGAGGTTGGGACGACGACTATGGCATTGAAGATGTGCGTACGATGACAATGATGATGACGAGGGTGACGAGGGTGACGAGGGTGACGAGGGTGATGAGGGTGATGAGGGTGATGGTGTATATGGTGATGGTGGTGGCGGTGGTGGTGATGGTCATGATGACAACGGTTATTACTGTGACGACGGTGATAATGCGAGGCAAGAACATGATCTGCAGGTTCAAAACGAACCTGAGCCTCGAGCCATCAAGCTCGCTGGGTGCGATCGTGGACTCGTCAGCATCTGAGCAAGTGAATCCATCCGGAGAACGCTTCTCCGACAAATCACATCCTAAAACCGCAGGTATCTGCCCCGTCTACCTTGCCAGCAACTTACCTGAGACTGATCGCGGCGGTGCGGCAGGCTGTGCAGAAATGGATGGTCCCACCTCAGCGACTCCCACCACGCTGTCAGTGCTAACTGCCGAACTCAAGCAGTGGCCGAAAGAACTCTGCACATCGAACTGCAGCAGCAGTCTGGAATGGAGTCACATCCTCCACCCCGCCCGATCCTTGTTCTTTCCACGGGGGCAACTGAGAACGGCGCGGAACGTCCACCTGATGTGTGGCTTCCGCGATAGCGCGGTAAACCGCCATGTGAGTCGGAATGCGGTTTTGGGTTTGGGGTTCCAGACACGGCTAAGGTCTCGTCTGATATCTAAGGCAAGAGGCAGAAATCCTCGTGAAAATGGGCTTCAACAGCCGCCATCGACAGGCTAGATGCCAGCAGCCCAGACCCGAACAGCTGCAAATCCGCAGGATCAGGTGCACCCCTTTGCCTGCAGATTTCGGGCTCCTGTGCAGCGCGTCTGTACGGCAGCCGGCTCATCTAGGCATACATACCCCTCCACACATGTGGGATAGTACAGGAGGATCTCTTCGTTGTGTCATGTCACTCCGGAAGATTGGCACAGGCAGTTGCTACAAAGTAGGAGGTTCAACATAACAAGCAGAGGATGCCATCCTCATGGTGCGAATCAAGGTGTTGTTCATTCTATTTCTGCCGAAATTCGCTTCGTTCTTCTGAGCTGTCGCAACAGGTAGGAGGACATGACTTCTGCATGCCCGGAACGAACCTACCTTGAGGAGCGCAATGCCCGTTTCACAAGTCAGATCTGCTCCAGGTTTTGCCCTCTTGTTCCAGCCTCAACTATGGCCGTCAGCATTCATCCCAGTGCAAATGACAAAATGGTGCGACATTCGGGCATATTGTCATCAGGCACATAGCTGAGACACTCCAGTCAGGAGAGCTCGGAGAGTGCAAACCAATGCAGGTCTCCACGTCTCCGAGACAGGCTTGGTGGGCAACGGAGTCCCCAGTGGTTGCTGCCTCGCGACAACAAGCCTCCACCGCCCTTACCGAGCGAACGGTGCTTGTTCCACCGCACAGGCAAGCCATGTCCACGCGTGTTTCATTGCGGACATCCGCCGCATTTCTCGCGACAGGTTCTTCATCGACCCCGGCAGGGGTGACAAGATGTAGCAAACACATTCCGCAGATCACAACGCTCAGCATCATGATTCCAAGGCCCCGTGCCACAACTTTTGGCTCAGACAGTAGTAGCACACATCTTTCCCAAAGTTGTTTGCACTTGGACAGTACCTTCCACTCGGCATTGGGTTGCAACAGTGGGCTGCCCACCGCCATCACCGCAAAGCGCCGGACTGCGAAGGAGCAGAAACGTGCTGCAGTGTGATCACGAGAAGTTTGCAACTGCGCGCTCTTCATACTAGTATGACACAGACCTTCTGTACACAAGACCCTGGCAGACGCGAAGAGCGGCTTCCGCGAGCTCAAAGCAGCGTCTGGAAGCAGGATGCTGTCCTGGAGGGCACAGCGACCTTGCGAGCTTCGACTTCACAGCCCGACATAAAGAGAACCAGACTCTGGAATAAGAACATGAGCAGACGGATTGAGGTCTGTGCATCCTTCTTGGGATCCTTGCCCTGACAGGAATCGAACATCGAGGCTGTCAGCTTGGGCCGCATAGAGTCGGACGGAGTGGCTGCCTCTTTTCCGAAGGCGCTTCTCCCCCAGTCCTTGCCATGTCCAGCGCAATCGGCTGCATGACTCAACCAAGGCCCTCACAGCGCACTGGCCTCACCCGCAAACTGGCAGGTGCTGGCGGGTGCCGTTCGAGCCTCGTGAGCGCAAGGAAGGCAGCCCTCCGAGCGTGGCTTTGCCCCCGTGCCTCCAGACTCTGCAGGAGTGCCTCCTCCGAAGACTGCTGCCCCTCAATGAGGAGGGACACCTGGACCGTGTACCTTGCGGCTTGTTCTGTGCATCTCCATCCTGCCAACGTTCCGGTCTCCGGCCTTGTGTCCGGCAAAAGACCCTGCACCTGACACACTTCCCAGATTCTCAGAATTGTGCGCAAACTAGGAAAGCCGGTTACCTCGCCTCAGAGGATGAGAGTCCGGTCAGTATGGCGGAAATGGAAACGACATTCGGTGACTCCACGCTTAGCGGACCATCTTCTTAGGTTTAGTAACAGCTCTAAACTCACGTGACCTCGTGGACGACACGGCCACCCCATCTGCACCAGGCGGTCTCCTTGCAGGGCGCATGGCATGCTCAAGTGTAGGGTCGAGCATAGGGGCGGCTGTCTCACACTTTAAGCAAGAAGGCCTTCTCAACGGCTCTTGCGACAGCACTGACTGAGCACCACTATCGGTCCTATCAACCTGGACTTCTTCTTCCCACTGCTGCTGGTCTTATCCTGCGGTTTTACTAAATACCAGCACCAGCAGTACAACTGTAGCATTCTCGGAAATGCGATCCGAAGCCCAGAGGAATCCAAAAGCTCAAAGCTTCGCTTGAATCCTGAATCTGGACTACTGGACCTACTCCTTCAATGCGAAGGTGAAAGCACGCAAGAGTCTCGAACGCACTGATTAATCAGCACACTTTAAACTTCGATCATGTACGAGAGTAGCTAGCAGCAAAGACCACTCGGGAATGCATAAGACGAACAGTAGCAACGAATTGGAATGAAGGGTGAAAACTACTATCGAATCGTACCGTACGACTCGTCGGTGTTGCTGGCTGTGCGACAGCAACGCTCAGTAGTGAGTAGAACGAACCAACAGTGATAAGGAGACATGCTGGACAGGGAACCAACAGTCGACATGGAAACAACATACAACACAACATGTTACAACGATCAAATCACACGAATCGGTAGGAATAAGGATGGAAACAATACACTGTGCAAGCAGACGACAGCAAAGATGCTACCAACTGCCGTCATAACAGAGGGTTGGCGGCAGCCGCAGCAAAAGTGGACGCACAACAAGAACGGCCATATACAGCCATCCTGGTCATAGCACCGGCAACGACCCGATTGCAGTGCTACTTGCCGACGTCTTTGAGACCCTGCTATTCACCCAAGTCGAAACTTGAAACCTCAAACAGGAAACCTCTGCAAGCCGCGAGCTTGAAGACTTCAACTCTCAACCCTAAACCCTAAGACCCCGAACCCCCCTTACCCTCGGCCTTTCCGAAGCCCTACCCTTTCATCCCCTGAACCCCAAAACCTCCGCACTCTTAAAGCTCTCCTTCTTCGGGCCGAAGATGTCGCAGTCGGGGCCCCCCAACACTGCAATTCTAAGCCTCATGGGGCTAAGGAAAACACAGGTCTAGGGTTTTCTCTAGGGTCTGTGCTTGGGGGTGTAGGGATTTGCGTGCGCAGCGGAGTCGACTCCGAAGCCGCAGCATGCCAATGACTTTAAAACAAGGAAAAACTCATGACCCATCATGGGAGTTTCCGAAATGAGGGGTACCCTAGTTGGGCGCCGTATAGTACTGCATCAGCATAACCTACCTACTAGAAGCTATGGTCGTCATAATACTCCCAAATACCATAGCACATCATAATAGACCATGGCCTATAAACTCGCTACCCCAAACTCCTAATTAAACCCCAAACCTTAAGCCCCGAAAACCCCAACCCAAACCCTAAATCTAAACCCCAAACCCCTCAGCCCCAAAACCCAAACCCTAAAGCCGCAATCCAAAACCCTAAGGTGCAGGCTCAACTTCATCTCCAGAGTTTCGAAATGGCCACCAGGAGCCTCGAAGGATCCGACTGCGAGGAAGGCCTTTGCGGGCTTGGGGGCTCCTCTCTCGGGTTTAGGGTTTTAGTTTTATAAGGGATCCTCTTTTCGGGGCTAGGGTTTAGGTTTTGTGAAGGCTTCTCTTTCGGGCTATTCATACAAGGGCTATTGCAAGGGTTACAAGAAGGGTTACTCTAAAGGTTTAGGGGCTAAGGCTTATATAAGGGGTTTCGAGGCGTGCTGTAGGGCTTGGGGGTTTAGGGCTTGGGGCTTTGGGTGCCTGCGGCCTACTTGTAGGCTTTGGTGTTTTTTAAGTCGTTTGGGGTTTACGGTGTAGCTTTTCGGGTCTTAGGGTTTAGGCATTGGGGTCCTTTGGGCAGGCGTTTGGTTCAAGCCGGCTTCGGGTTCGAGCTTTTGCGATCCTTCTGGGGTCTTGGGCCTGGGGGTTCCTGGTTCAAGCACTTCGGGGTTTAGGGTTTGGGGGCAGTGGGGAGTCCAGACTGTAGGCTTTCAAAGCACCTCGCTTCCAAGGAGTGTCGCTTGCACTAGGGCCTTAGGCTGTAGGGCTCATGACCAGTATGGCTTTGGTATTGCTATGATTTTCAATATAACCTCTAACTGAAAACGTTACGATATCATCGTAATATCATGGCGGTGGGCTGGCATCTGAGGCTCAGACAGGCGCTCACCTTCAGGCTCTTCTCACATGCCTGCCGTATCGGCGCAGATTTGGGTCGTGCAGAACTCTGCGTTCATCTAAGTCCAACGGGGTTGTGAACAACCAAGCAAGGCAACAACTCACCGGCTGAAGGAGATACCAAATGGTTCCACCTTTAGGGTTTGGGGCCTAAGGTTGACCGGCGTGCGATGTTGCTCTGTTGCATCTTCGGTTGATTCATCCTCAATCCACACTCGAACCCGAAACCCTAAACCCCACCGTGAATCCCAGACCCTCCTATGCTTCCCTCTAGCATCAAACCATGAACCAGACGCTTCCCAGACTTCTTGTGCTTGTCAAGCCCTGAACGCTGCACCTCACACCCCAAACCCGAAACACCGGAAACCATAAACCCTAACTCTCCCTAAAGCCCGGAACCCGACACTAGACAACCCAAAACCCATAATGTAGGGGCCTTAAGAATTAGAATAGGGTTTTGGGGCCCACTATGCTCGAATTATAACCGGGAACCCCCAAATGTAGTAGTGGTTTGTTTTAGCCCCTATATACTAAACCCTAAACTCTAAGAGTCACCATGATGCCTCAAGCAAGCAGACGTCGAGCAGCGGAGCCTCGCTAAGTGGAGAGAGGCGGCTCCCGATGTATGGGGTTACCATCGGTTTTTTCAGAGCTTTTTATAAGTGTTAACGGTTCCGGGTTGCAGGATTTCTGGAACCTGAGATTCAATCCCCGGGTTTTAGGATGTAAGCTTGAGGGTTCAGGGCAGAGGTTCAGGGCTTAGGGTTTAGCTTCAATGATATCACAGTATAGTCATGTGCATGCGGACGACCTCAAGCTATTCTAGCAATATTCTGCTCAAGGGCCGGTAGAACAGTGCGTTTTCCTGGAATGGTAGAGTTGTTTATCGCCCCTCTTCTCCATGCCAGGTAACTGATAGGTTGAAGGCTAGCTGGAGCTAGGGTTTCGAGAGTAGTAGAGACCCGGGCTATGGTACAACGCCACGACATGCAACTCAATACCAAGCAATCGAGAAAGAAGGAACCCTCACCTCAGCTGGGCCACAAAACCACTGGCCCGTGGAAATCCTCACGTGCCCCGCTACGACATCCTGTCTCCCGGCCTCAACGTCTTGGTCATTTCCGAGGCAGCGCCCACAGCACCTAGCACGCAGCGGTCCCCTTGCTTCGTTGGGCTTGCTAACTTTCGGGATCTCATCGTTCCAGAACCGACCCGGAAAGAAAGCTCTCCTACGGCAGACTTCGCAGCTCACTGCGGACTAAAGCTAAGGCTGCTGCGGCATCACGACATGGAAAACAAAAGACCTGGGACCACGGCGAATGCTAATTGCTTCAAACTACTGCTTGTCGTCCCTTGCAGACACATCTGTGCGAAGAGCACGCAACGTGGGACAAAAATGGAGTGAAAAGGCGGAGGGCGACTTCGCGTTTGAAGTCTTGTGATGAGTTCGAAGCTAGCTGGGACAGTGACATCACTTTTCACACACCTTTCACATACCGCTCGGACCAGATGCACCAGTACTCGCTTAGCCAGGAGCACAGTGGCGTCTGAGCAGCCAAAGTAGGAATCTACAAATCTCACAGCTTTAAGATCGAGCCAAGGGTTATCACAAACCACGTGGCATGTGAGTCCTGGCTGCAAGGTCGAGGGTGCAGGGCGGCGCACCGTTTCTCGGGTCCATGCCAGCCGCGCGATTTCATGTGTCGGACAAGTGCGTATATGCCAATCTGCTGCTGGATACCAAACATGCTTTGGTGCTCATGCCTGGTGCAAGCCATCATTTTGCCAGCGCGCTGAGCAGACGCCGTGAAACAGATCCAAGTCAAGATCACATCGCAACAGATCTAAAGTTCGAAGCCTGCACGGATTCGTCAGCTGAACTTCTGAGCAGCAACTTCGATCAACCTGGGCAGGGCGACAGATCCATCGGGTCGTGTTTTCATGGTCTGCCTCTTTTGGCTCGGGGTCTAGGGTTTACCATGGTTTGTAGATCCATGAGGTAGCCTAAGCCCTGAGACCCTCACACACCCAAACCCCAGACTTTAATAGCCAGGCGGCGCTAGGACGGCCGACACGGCCAAGTAGACCTCAGCCAAGAACGGGGCCCTCCACAGATAAACCAACATGAAGACTACCATGCAGTCATGGCAGGTTCTACTACAGTACGTTGCAGTGGAATGAAGGTACAACGAATAGCCATAACACAGGGGCCTTAATCATTAGACTAGGGCTTTAAGTTATACTAAATTTTAGTGTAAAATATGGAGCCCCCAATATAGTATTGATACTTACTAAGGCCCCGATAGGAGCTTTCACCGAGGCCAAGACCCAGCAAAACTTCCAGAATGCCGCCTCTCCGTCCCGGAACTGCTGCTCGGTCTTCTTCAAGGGATCCTGAGGGCCCGCCGACACACGACTACAAGATACTAGATAACGTACTACTTACAAGATACTTCTAATCAGATACTATATACTATATACTATATACTATATACATATTTTTCTCCTATATACTATATACTATATTATATGAGATACTACTACTCAATGGGAAGCAATGGCTGGCTTTTATCGAGTTGCGCGCCTCGCCTCTCGCCTCGCTCTCGGAATTTTCACTCTTTAGAGTCTTTAGACGAGCCAGAGCAGAGTCATGCTTCCCATTGAGTAGTAGTATCTCATATAATATAGTATATAGTATATAGTATCTGATTAGAAATTCTCTCTTCAGCGCTGCATCAGCTGCTGCACCGATTTGTGGGGCACTGTCTCAGTTGTCTCAGCATCCTGCACCAGTCCAATGGAGAAAGATCCTTGGCGAGGCACGTCTACGTGACAACTCTGCTCTCAGTTGTTGGCATATAGCGGCAACATGTCAACTCTGTACTCCAACTGCATCCAGGTGCGGGTTTGCGCCGCTCCTGATGTGATACTCCTCCTGTGCCATTTGGATGGCCTTCCTGTGGCACTCTGGCAGAGCAAGCTCTGTGCAAGTCTCCGCATTGGCAAGTCCGGCCTGTATTGTGGAACTAGCGACGTGTCCGTAAGCCGGAATCCACCACGAACCTGCGGACAGATCAGTCAAGTAATTAATCGGAATCTTCAGCACATCAAATTCGGGAATCTTCAGCACATCAAATTCGAGAATGCCAAGTGCATCCTGTGTAAAACGTGGATCCCCGCCCCCTCCTCTCTCCGCCCCCGCGGGAACTCGGCTGGCACATACCGGTGAGGGCAGCCGAGAGTGCTCCACATGGAAATAACAATAGACACCACAGTCCTGAGAACAACCACAACAGTACAATACTGTAAGAGACAGCTGGAATAAGTCACATCACCGTAGCCATCACGGTGTGTCATCATCACCAGCATCATCTTCTTCTTCTTGTGGTCACCATCGTCACCATCACCACAAGAGGGAGAGAGTTGACAATGCCTTTCAGAATCGAAGCTCCTGAGCGATCAGTACCCACGACCATGCAGGGCCATCGTTCCATTGCGCCTGATCATCGTTCGGTTCGCCACAAGCAAAAAGCTTGGGCTCGAAGGGGTCGCAGCAGTTGACACCTCAGCCAGCATACTTCCTGTCACGGTCTGGTCTAACAGTCTAACACTGCATAGAACTTCCCATCTACAAAGTCACAGACCCACCGCCCAGAAATCGAAGAAGGCGGGGGCCGTGGCGTTGACCCCACCTCTGTGCACCGGAATGCTGTGTCATCTTCTTCAAGGGTTTCGAGCAGAAGGTGCCTGATGTGACGATGGGAGCGACGCAGTAGAGATTGCCGTCCTCCGGAGATTCAGAGCGCGCAAATTGATCGGGGCCTGCCTTGCCCGTTGAAACTTCAGGAGCTCCTTGTAACCCATGGTCAGGCTCTCGTTGACGTCGGTGCGGGGAGCAAACTCAAGGGCGCCCATGTCGAGAAATTGCCCGCCTGCGGCGGCAGGCATGCTGCTTCTTCGTCTTCTACGAATCACTCCATTAATCTACAACTTCGCCCAAAGCGCCTGATGCTCTTCTGGTGTCTACGTTGGTGACCATCGCAAGGCTCTCTGCCTCGAAGTACCTCCAAAGAAGCGTAGGTTACTACAGCAGATCCATGCCTCAAGGCCACATGTAAATCGCGCACGGCTGCATGTAAGCAGACCATGTGTAGAGTCCAACAACTACGCCGGCAAGCCAGGCCTCAGAATTCTCACTCTGGTTCTTTTGCCGGGCCAAGCATTACCAGGAGTCAATGCTTCCCAATGTCACCTAATGACAACCTGCACTGCCCTGCCCTGGACGACTTGGGCAGCTGCTACGGAAGATACGATGGCCAGGAAGAAGAACCTGCCATTGTGTTCTCATGAGTACTGCCATCCGAATAATAGTTCATATTATGCTTATGATTCTGATTGGTCTTCTTCTCCATTTTGTTGGCTTCGGGGGGTCCCCGCTCCTCCACAGCAGAAGCTTCTGTCAAGCGAGTCCGGACAGAGGTAGCACGCAATTTTTTGCAGAGCTGTTGGAAAACCCGACTACTTCAAACACCATTATTAGTATCATCACTCACGCTCTTGTTATTATTAGTACTACATCAAACATTTTTCCTACTCGGCATCGTCGTGGTCGTGGCGGTGGTCACGGTAATGGTGGCGGTCGTCGTCGCAGCAGCAGCAGCAGCAGCAGCAGCAGCAGCACCACCACCACCACCACCACCACCACCACCACAACGACCTCTACTGCTGCTACTACTACTACTGCTACTACTGCTACTACTGCTACTGCTACTACTGCTACTACTACTCTGCTGCTGCTACTGCTATACTATTACTGTTACTACTACGAACTGCTGCAGCTACTGATACGTACTATCATTACTTCTATCTTTAAATATGTGTGTTCCCACCTGTGCCCATCGAAGACTCGAGGATGCTCTGAGTTCCCGCTCTGCAGAACAGGTGGGAACACATATATTAAAGATAGAAGTGATGGTAGTACGTATCAGTAGCTGCAGCAGTTAGTAGTAGTAACAGTAATAGCAGTAGGATTCCCCACTTCGGCAAATGCCGAAACCATCCCACGGATTGCAGGCTGCGCTATGTTGTGCCCACGACTTGTTCTCCTGCACGTTCGAGCTGTACGCAGCTCTATCAACAGCTTGGAATTGGTGTAGCCGTACTTCTGGGGCGCAGTTCGGCGTTTTGACAATCGACGCTAAAGAGACTCATGGTCCCAAAATAACAAGACCAGGACACCAGTTTGGCTCTCTGTGCGAGATGTCTCTGGAGTCTTGCTGCCTCGGAGGGGAGCCATCTGTCAGAATACGCAGCGCAGGGAAGCTCGAGATCCCGGCTGGTGCCAAACTCTGTACCACATGCCCAGCGGGACAAGTAAGCCTGCAGATGGATTTAAGTGTGTTGGGGGTTTACCGTTTCACACTTCCTGGAGCACAAGGCAGTCTAAGTGGTCCGAGCTCAGCGCAGGCAGCGACCAGAACCAGCACGGGGACCGTGTGCTTGTAATGGATCTCAGAACTGGCTCTGATCCCTATACCACGCCTTCCACCACACATCGGAAGCTAAATGATCCTAAACGCACAACTCCAGCTGGTTAACCATACCAGCAGCAAAGCGAGTCTGATTCCGTCTATCGCACTACAGCCACGCAGACTACATTCCCCATCTCCTTGCGACAAAGAGCCAGCCCCGGCATCAACAGACTTCCGCACCGCAACAGCTGCTCTGCGCCGACTTCGGGCCGAGGAGCAGAGAAAGTCAGGAGCCAGGAGACGCAAAGAAAGATGGCCCATGGGACGATCACCGCCTCCAGGGGAAGTCTGCTCCAGCCCAAGCCCAAGGCATACAAGGCACGAGCACCTCCAGCATTGCTACTCGGTTCAGTCGCCATCTCCTGTCAGCAAAGCCAGCCCCAAACGGCTCCGGCTGCTCCCAACAGCTCTCTAAGTCTTCTAGCGCGCTTCCCTTGTGCTACGGCTGTCCCTGGCACTGGCTTCGAGTGCAGCGGCGCTGCGCCATAGGCCTGAAGCCGTCGGATGGGGGAGGCATTTTCGGAGATCCCCGATTCGAGTCCCAGATGAAAAGAGAGCAATCCTAAATCGCAAGCCGTTGTTGAAAGCCCACGATCTGCCTCCATTGGCCCAAAGCTCCTTGGCTGCGCGGAGCGCATACTACAAATTTCCTGTTGGTCTATCCATCCTGTACACCCAAGCTGCATTTTAGGGCAATGTATACTTCAAAAGTTGCACGGTCATGTCTCGCCATGCGTATCCAGCGATACACCATGCTGCTACAACACGCGTGGGAATAAACAGCAATTTGGAAGAAAGCAAGAACGGCGGCACCATAATGATTACCTCAGTTTTGCCTATATATCATAGTCACTACCCTATATACCATAATCACAACAAGTATCCCATATACGATAATCACTACCGTATTTATTATTTGCTATACACACCTTGGACCGCATCTTGAGACCAAGACGCGCCGGGCTGCAGCCCTTCTGTGTACCTTGATTCAGAGAAGTTTTGGTAGAAGTCAGAGAAGAGACAACAACAGGCAGACTAGCGTTTAGTGTTTAGGCGCAGCGTTAACGGTTTAGTGCACCATGCCAGATCACACAGACTCTCATGTAAGAACTCTCACCGGTGCGATGCAGTCCGAGATGCACTACCGAATCGGGGCGGGGAGTTCAATCGCCCACATTGTGCTGATGCGCAACACTGCGGTTGAGGACAAAGTTGCATCAACAAGTTTGTGGCTGAGCTAGATGACAGTCTTGCTTTCGCAGGGCCGTCAAGCCCTCCTGCCAAGAGTCGTGTCATAGTGGGCCTAATGTGCAAGCAGACGGGAGCTTCGTCTTGAAGATTAGCTGCGTTGATTTCCAAGCCCTTCTGAGCCCAACTTTTTGTTGCTTCAAAAGACTGCGTGTCGCGCGCGACGTGAGACAGCATCAAAGTGATTGGATCGTGCCAACAATTCATCAGGTGGCAATTTGTGTGGAGAGTACCCACGCTGCGAAGGGAAAGATCTGCACTTCGATGTGTTGACTAACGATATCTACATCCGCTTTGCGGATGCGAGAACCAGGGAGAGTTCTGTCGTGTTTCGGATTCTAGCCGCCACGTGGCATTCTCGTCACGCCCTTGCATGTGGCCCATGCAGTGTATAAGACAAGCTTTGTCGTCGAAGCACGTGCACTGTGAGACTTTAGAGCACCCACTGGCGATCACGTGGTGTGCTGGCCTCAGCTCACAGAAGTGGCAGGGGGGCTTGCATGGCTTACATTCAGCAAAGAGGTCAGACTCGAGGATGGCTCACTGCTCGAAGAAGCTTTTCGGCACCACGGGCTGTACTGCGACAGGTGCTTCGGAAGAGGTTTACTTCTGCCTTCTACAAATCTGGCTCCAGCCTTGCACTGCTGGCGGCTAAGTCGCGTCTTGGCTTCGCCTCCGTTTCTGTTCGGGGCCAACAGGACTACAAAGGCACCCATTTGCACGCTGCTGGGCTCAGCAAGCTCAGGGGCAAAGCCGGCACATGCTGAAGTTTGCGTGAAGGTCCACGGGACACCTTCCAGATCCTCTTGTGATCTAGCTTCTCTCACATCACCTGGTTTCATCATGTGCTCTGCTTGGGCCTGCGTCACTAGGCAGCCATGCTCGAGCTCCGTAGCCTGGATTCCGCAGGCTCTCTTTGAGGCCTGTCAGAGCTTGGAGTCCAGGACTTGCCTTCGGCAGAGATCTTCGTCTTCCTTCTACGACTCCTGGCAGCCCTCACCAGGAGGTCAGATCACGAGGGTGCTCTCGTCCTGAAGGCTTTGGCTCCTTGCCTCCCGCGTCAGAGCAACGTCCCGACGACTCAAACGAAGCGATACACTACCAGAATACAACTCAAGGCGGCCTGTGGACGGGATCGGCATGCAGCTTTATCGCATTGAGGCCTTTCAGCTTCTGCCCGTCATCAGGTGTGCCAAAGCTTGCCACTGTGCACATCTACTGCAATCGGCAATCGAAGCACAACAGGCCAGAGAGAGAAGCTCGCCCACCGAAACTACAACTAGGTGCAAATATGGCATCAATATCAGCTGCCAAGTACTTACAGCACCCCCAAGGTTGTTTGACGTTGAGTCGCCTCGAGCCGCTGAAGGACTTTGTCGACATCACTCTGCGGAATGGAGCCACGCAGAATCTCCTGGTGGAATAGGGCAGAACCATTTCTGCCAAGGTTACCACATTTCCCCGCCGTAGAAGCGGTCAAACTAACACCGTCATCATAAATGGAATCACGAAACCCAATGCTGAAAGTTCTCGTGTCGCGTTCGGGGATCACGACTCCAGGCAGAGCGAGGCCTGGAGGGGCTGCCGCAAGGGGGCGTGGAACAGCATGGGACAGGACAAGGCAGGGACAAAAACAATCAGAACTGCAATCAAAGATCAGAGTCAGAGTCACATCATCCTCTCTTTGAAATCTACTTCTGCCGCAGACATACTATGACTGCACTCTTCGCCTCGGTCCATAGCATCACCTTCATCGTCACCGTCATCGTCATCAGCATCAGCAGGAGCGGGCCGCGATTCTCATCACCTTACCGTAATCGCGGAAAACACAAGTTACCAGCTTCAACCGTTAACCAGAACCATGATCACGATCAGACTCACTAGCACATAAGGTGTCATTATGGTGATCTCAGACTGGGCTCCCGCAAAGCAACTCTCACAACGCACCACTTTTCAGAGGTATGAATGTGTTTGTAGTTAGCTGCCCGCCATGGAGTGTATGGACCCTAAAACCACAAACTCGAGAAGCTTAAGCCCAAAGACTCTAGACATCTTGAGAGACTCTACAAGCCTGAAACCCGATTGCAAAGCCTCCGAACCCCAAGAAGGCAAACCAGACGCCCAAATCGAGAAAGTGAAAGCGACAAATGCCAACACTCAAAAACGCCCCAAACACGAAACCCAAAACGGAAGGCCAGACACTTGTCCTCCTGGAATCTTTGCATACCATTTTGCAGCGCAGGTCGAAAGACGAGCCTCAGCTCCAGTTTAGGTTTTGGCATGGGTAGAGTTTAAGCGCTTAGGTGCAGGGATTCAGGGATGTTGAGGCTAGGGTGAAGGAGTTCAGGGATTGATTGTCTTGAGAGTTAGGGCTTTCTGTAGACATGTCTGGGCTTGGGGCATACGATTGCGGACGGTAGGGTCCTTTGTCGGCGTGCAGGGTTTAGGAGGGCTTGGGTTCCGGGTTTAGGATTCACGTGGGTTTTGTCGGGCTTGTTGAGCCAAGGAACACCGGGATGCCGCTCACCATCACTCCATAGCCTTCCAGGCTACAGGCATCCGGCCACACTCCGGACTACCGAAGGATCCTTCCGCCAGCCGCAAGCTTGCGGTTCGGAAACCCAACCCCCAAACCTGAAACCCTGAACCCGAAACCGTAAACCCTAAAGCCCTAAGCCCTAAAGCCCTAAACCCTAAACCCGAACCCTGAAATCGAAAGCAATGCTCGCGATCGGAGGGCTGCGCTTCAGCAAATTAGCCCCGGCCTGCGGGTGCAAGCGTCTTCCTTGCCAGGGTTGAGGATCATAACATAATACAATCTACTTTGAAATACAGTAATGTATTATATCATTCAAGAATAATCAGTAATGCATTATAATCGATACTATACAATGTACTATAGAGGACTTGGGATGGTCTCAGCAAGGGCCGAGCCCTTTCTTCAGCGGAGGCGCCGCAGCCAAAGAGAGCTGCATTCCTGGAGTTCTCGTTGGAATCTGGTAGACTCCAGCACCTTCCATCAAAGGCAAGGTGGCTCATGAGAGCAACGGCCACGCCCACATTCCATGATTCAAGCACTGACTGTGCTGGAGCTATCAGCCAAACCCAAAGCAATAATTAAAGGCCAAGGTAAAGAAAACAAGAAAACCAACGTCAGCAACGCAAGCACTGCTCGAATCCAAGATCATGAGTCCCTCTTGCACCACCCTAAACACGCGATTCTGTCACAAGCCATTTAGAGCCATGGACAACGACATCATGTTATGCGAGTTTCCGCAAACAGGGGACCCCAATATAATACCCTAAATAACAGGATCCTTATGATAAGGACCTCAAAAAAAGGTACTAGTTTTCAGAAATTCCCATATGTTGAAGAATAGCACCACGAACGAGTCCATCGTGCAGTGGCCTTCTTTGCCTCTACTTTGTCGAGGCCTGCCTCTGCCACGGAGTCCAAGAGCACCTCCGGCATTTAGGATTTAGGGCTAGGGTTAGGGTCTAGGTTGCAGGATTGAGGGTTCAAGTTTGTTAGAGTGCGCAGTGTGCTGGTGCAGGGTCCAGACATTGCTCTCGGTCCGCTTCCATTTAACTTCTATCCGCAGCCCTCAACCCTCCCTCAACCCTAAGAAAAAGCTCTGCAGAAACTCTGCCTGGTGGTTGGCGAGCTGCTGGTCTTCGCTGTGGTGGCGCCAGCCTTGCTCCACGGAGCTAAACCACATACTAGTAGAACACCATAAGAACCCAAACAGAACCCATAAGAACCTCTAAACCCTAAACCCCCTCTAAATCCTAAACCCCCCTGAACGCATCCTCCCCATAAGCTCCAGGCCCAACGCAGCCATCAACTCCTGGGGCTACCAAGGCCACGGAGCTTCGTATGTCGCGCCCGAGATCGCGAAATGCGGCGCGAGACGCGGTTCAGAGTTTAGGGTTTTTTCTACTGCATCTCATGATCTAACGTGTATGCATGTGTGCATGTATGTAAACATGTACGCATGCCTGTACGTAAAAGTTTCTGACTGCACAGATGCACAGATGTAGCTGCAGCTAGATAAACAGAAAGATTAAACAAAACAGATGGATAGAGAAATAAATAGATAAATAGGACAGACAGCTGGTTGGAACCAGGTAGAAAAGCAGAGAGATGGACAGATGGATTTTGTGTGTGTGTGTGTGTGTGTGTGTGTGTGTGTGTGTGTGTGTGTGTGTGTGTGTGTGTGTGTGTGTGTGTGTGTGTGTGTGTGTGTGTGTGTGTGTGTGTGTGTGTGTGTGTGTGTGTGTGTGTGTGTGTGTGTGTGTGTGTGTGTGTGTGTGTGTGTGTGTGTGTGTGTGTGTGTGTGTGTGTGTGTGTGTGTGTGTGTGTGTGTGTGTGTGTGTGTGTGTGTGTGTGTGTGTGTGTGTGTGTGTGTGTGTGTGTGTGTGTGTGTGTGTGTGTGTGTGTGTGTGTGTGTGTGTGTGTGTGTGTGTGTGTGTGTGTGTGTGTGTGTGTGTGTGTGTGTGTGTGTGTGTGTGTGTGTGTGTGTGTGTGTGTGTGTGTGTGTGTGTGTGTGTGTGTGTGTGTGTGTGTGTGTGTGTGTGTGTGTGTGTGTGTGTGTGTGTGTGTGTGTGTGTGTGTGTGGGGGGGGGGGTTTGCAGTGGGTGTGTGCTTGCAGTTATCTGGAAATGGCTGCGGTTATGTTCTACAATGCAGTACTGTCTGCAGAATGTCGCCGGATCCTCCAAACAAAGGCACTTATCAACAATCAGCTGCCAGCCTACTTCAACGTCATTTATTGTACTGGATCTGTGAAACACAGCAACAACAACTCTCTCGCAATTGGCCGGGGTCCTCGTTCTTTCCCTGGCTTTGTGCCCAAAGCAGCAGGCGTAGGCTGTCCATCGCAGAAGAGCTTGTGCCATTCCAGGAAAACCTCAGCCGACATTCCTCCAACCACGGTGCGCCCCGTGCAAGGGTAACTCACACTGACGGAAGCTGGAAGATAGTGTAGTAAGTCCGTTGTGCATCAGATCGTGCCATATTGCAACCATGGGACTGGATGCCATATTTAGGACCAATCCTGTGGCCAATGTCAGGGTACAAACACAGGCCGGTCATCCAAGTACAGTTTAAGGCTGTGCTTTAGGGCTTCGGGTTTGTGGTCCTGTTCAGCATCTCCTCACCCTTCTTCCTGGCTTCTTCGTCTCCTGAAAAGGCACTTCAAAAAAAATTAGAGTCTCAGAATTGCGCAGTCTAGCGTTTAGGCGGGCGAGCTCGAAGATGCAGAAGCATGCGAATTCACAAACCCGAAACCCTCGGCCCTAAGCAACATTTGGGTTTGGGGTTTAGGGTTTAACGCTTTAAGCACACCTCGCCTAGCTGCAAGTGATGGCTTGTCCAAGACGGCACATCGACTCGCAGACTGCAAAAATCCGATGCAAAGAAAATGATGCCTGCAAAAATTCTAAAAACCAGAAGTGTTCGCGTGCCCCCACCCGACCGCGCGGCATGCTCTCGTCTTTTTCTACGATGTGGCTGGTCACGGGCTCTGCCCGAACGGTGGCCCATCCGGGGCATTCTCTGAGCGCAGTGGTTGGGACTTACAGCTCAACCTCCAAACTTCAACCACCTGGGCTTTCCCGGTTTGGCTTGGTGGATGCTATACGATGCGGCCGGGGTTGAGCAAATCATGGGCGCGGGGTTTCCACATGCATGCCAGCAGAGCTCAGTGGCTAATCAATGACGAGTCTAGTGCGGTGTCGGAGGAGGCAGCAAGTGAGCATAGATGCCGCTATGCCGAGTATCGGAAAACCTGGTACCATCGAGCCGGTTCCAGAACGACACCTCCTGCAAGCCTTTTAAAGAAGCCGCCCAACAGCTCGACGATCTTCAACCAGCACACACTCACAGCGCTCCGTGCCAAAGCCGCTTGCCTTTCTGCGCGCGCCTGGAGAAGAGGTGGGAAGGCAATGAGATCAGCCACATAGCTTGGGAGTGAGGCAGCCTGCGACTATGCAGCATCTTGCCGGCAAGATACAGGAGATGCGATGGCGAGCCCTGCTCCAAGGGCAGGGGGCGTCGGTAGATTTTGTAGACCTGCAAGCATTTATCTCAGCTCCGCTGCACGACAAGTAGACACCCCCACACCGAAAAATTATCCGAGGAGCGGAGCGAAGGCAAAACAGCCCGAGCTTCTGCAAAGCGAGGGGCGAGACGAGAGCCAGAAGCTTCACGTTCGTGGATAGCAGCATACAGTATGTGCTTTGCCAGATGCCCGTGTGGTCAGCTGGTACCTCCAGAGAGGGAGTTAGAGGTTACGTTATAGATTGTAAAACAATATAAACGATAGATGATATATGGATATGAAAGTACATGCTATTTTCTGGATATCAGAAATGAGGTCTTAGATACGACATACCAGGTTCCTATACGTTACATCTTGTGTGTTGTTTAGTGCATGTTCCAAACTAGTATTTGTAAACTATCTGCAGTCCATTATCCAGTGCCCGGTATCTACTATATATTATCTCTCATCTATCACCCGCCATCTATCATTCCAACATCTTACAGGATCTATCATCCGGTGTCCATCATCTCTCATCTTTACAATTATATTACTGCTATTACAGATGATGTTTTTGTTGCTGTGAATATACTTCTGTACGTCTGTGCGTATGTACGTCTGTATGTATGCACGTATGTATGTACGTACTTATGCCAACATACATTAGGGTAGATGACATGTTGCAAAATACAAGTTGCATACTGCGAATTGCATATATTGCATATTATCGATTTCAGATTTCATCTTATATTCTCTATATGGGTGGCTGTCAAAATTAGGGTCCGTTTTTGGGACCCCTAAATATCAGGCGCCGTATTGTAATAAGGACCCAAAAAGGGACCTGATTTTGACAACCACCCATATGTGGAGGAAACGCTCTCGAACCCGAGCACGGAGCTGCAGAAATCGAAGCCGAGGAGCAGCTGACAAAGTCAATGTTGATGAGCCTAAAACAAGTTCGGACTTTCGCTTAGGGCGTTTTTTGGTGTTTAGGGTTTAGGGCTTGGGGTTTGGGGTTTATAAGGGTATCGGGCATAAGGTTGAGGGTTTCCCTTGCAAGGAAACTGACAAGTCGCGGTCGCCACCGCACTTAGAGCAAGCCAGGCGGCATCTTCCCAGCAGGGACAGGGGCTATCGTTGGAAGCACCGAACCTGGCGCGGCTCTTCAAGCATGCAGCCATTCGGATGAGGCCAGAAACCTCCCTGACAGAGACACCGTTTGAACGAATGGTATACGCCAAACATCACCAAACCCTAAAACCCTTAGCTTTCAGACCATAAAACCCTGAACCTTGAAACCCTGAAGGCCTACACTGCAGCAACCCGAGCCTTAAACTTAAACCTTACTTTGGAGGCATGCTCTGTCGATGCTGCCCAGCGGCGTGGAATCGGCACGCCCCGGCAACCTGACACTTCGGAGAGCAGGAAACCCTAACTGCTGATGACAACATATGCAGCATAGATAGAACAACACAAAACTACATTATGCACTTGCAGTGTTGTTGCCCGCCATGAACTGTAGCAGCCATCCTTTTGTGTATGATAACGTTCTGCTTGGGTTTCCGACGGAAGCTGACATGATTCGACATCCTGAAGGCAGCGCATGCAGCTTTGCACGGCCTTCGAACTTCCATACGGGCTGCTGCGACAAGTTGACGCCGTACCTCTAGCAGCAGCTTGTGATGAGGCTTCCGTTGCTGCTCATGGTGCTGGTGATGATGCTGATGATGATGGTGATGGTGATGGTGATGATGAGGATGAGGATGATAATAACAACAATAATAATAATCATACTGATGCTGATGCTGATCATGATGATGATAAGGAGGAGGAGATGAGGATTGGTGGGGTCGCTGCGGCGGTTCCTCCGCTGCGCAGAGCATGCTCACAGCAAAAAATGGTGTGCGGAATTGAACACCCAACAACTGACAAACATCTGATTATCGTGTTTTCTCCGAGTAGCATTGCATCCCAAGCGGCTTCCTGCGGGAAGTAGCAGCCATGCCGATATGCTTTACGAACTAGCAAGGGGCCCTTACCAGGTTTGTTTTGCGTTGAACTCCAGGAAGGGCCAGCTTTTGGCACCACTTCAGCAATACGCTTTTGGGGGGTTCCTTCTTAGAAGTATACGATAAGGGCCCCAAACCCCTATTCTAATCCAGTTTATCCCAAACTCCCACGGCTTAGCCGTCCTGGCAAAAAGTTCCCTAACCAAGCAGGAGGCTTTGACAGCAAGTCCAAAGAAGCATGCCTCCTGACACGCAGCGGACTGTTGTACCCTCTGCAAGGCGCCCTTTACTTGCCATCCGAATCGCATCTCCAGCAAATCCTGGGTTTCGGAAGTCGGTAGAGTAGAGTTTGGGGCTGCAGCGCAGCTTATCGCCAAACCTTCTGAGGCTGCAACGATGAGAACCTCCTCACAACCCTTACCTCTTCCTGCAGCATCTCCTTCTGAACTGATGAACTGGCAAGGGCACACACGGCATGTGAGCCGAGAATCCCATAATATGAGCCTGACACCGGACACCTGCATTCAAAGATCCATCCGAATCCCACAGGTCACTGGCCCTTTGCGGCACTGTCCTGTGCAGTCGGACATTGTCCTCAGTGCGTGCATCCAGTAGGCACAGGCTGTCTGTTTGGTGGGCAGGTTTGCACAGCTGTGCCCGTTGCTACGTATAGAACCATGATGTTGCCAACCGGAAAAGAGGCATGCTGCTCCGTGGTCTAGAGTCCCTTGTAGCTTGTGCTGCAGGCGCCTTGAGGCACCCATGGCACGGGCTGCGTCGGGGATATCCTGACTGTAAGAAGGCGGAGCACATGCCAGAATTGAACGGATGTCTCGGTACATCGCTGCGGAGCTGTGATTCAGCACCGTGGCACTAGCTTCTCCAGTCACATGCGAGCTCTCTCATACAAATCGTGCAGGCAAGCCTCGAATAAGCCGGTGCCCTCGCCACAGCTTCTTTCTGGAGGGGAGCAGCCACTTGCTCGGTGCCTGCATCCTTGCTATTCTCCTGGACCGCGCTGTACCTCGTAAGCAAGTCCTTTCCCTGCAGGCGGAGACTCACCCATCCACTGCTGGGCCCAGTCCCACGGACCAGCTCATAGCGAAGTCGACCTGAATTTCGCGCCAACTTCTCTAACTGCCGCACGATGGCACCATTGGCCAAGCGAAGATCGGCTTGCTGTGTCGTCAGGGATGCACCACTTCGGACCACGATTCCACCGCTGGCAGCGCCGCCGACCACCTCCCAAAGCACCTCCTTCGACATCTGCTTTCATCGAGGCCGAAACAGAGTCAGAGCAAGAGTCTGATAGAGAGAGGGAGGGAAGGAGGGAGGGAGGGAACGAAGACTGCACCACCACAGCCCTCTTACATTGAGCAATGCGATAGATTAATTCCAGAGTTATGCCGAAAGCTTGTGGTTCAGGGATGCTGTAGACTACAGCTCTGTGGAAGCATGGGGTGCGAAGCTTGAGAAGGGCAATCGAATCGCAAGATCGCGCAATCCCCTCAGTGCTTTGTGCTGCAGCCTCCAGCAGCCCCTGACTCTGAGCGTTAGCCGTTATCCCCTGTTGCATGGTTTGGTGTCGCACGAGCATGACTCCCTGCTGAGGCGGAGGCACGGCTACGATCCACGGTCTACGCATTCCTGCGCAGTGTCTGCAGCGGGGAAAGGCTCTGGCACCGACAAGGCTGCGGCTTGCTGCGCACCCCGGCCTGCCGGCCCCGCCGCCTGTGTTTAACAAGGCCTTGCGAAGCAGCGAAGCTTGGAGACGGAGCACCACAAGTAAAGCAAAAACTGCCCTTCGCCGGACAGAGGTGCTGTGAGCTGAGCTGTTGGCATTGGCGGAGCAGCTGATGGCAGCGCTGAGCGCTCTGCTCCCCCGCGAGGCTGCGCTGCCTGCCACATTCGACAAAGATGTCCGGCTATAGGGAATAGGGAAATGACGCTCGCAACGTTCAACCCGTCGCTGCCTCGCCGGGAAAGCGAACGAATACTGCTGCGATCGTCCTGGGGAAGGGCAGCTCTGCAATCATGATCACAGAAGCAGGATACATCTGTACATCGTAGACATTGGGTTTAGGACCGATGCTGTACTCACTACTGGGAGGAGGGAGCGCAAGGAAGAAGACTCCCAACCTGCAAAGCCATCGAAATACCCGCCAATGGCTGCAAAGTCACCTGGAGCCGCATTGATGCCAGCGCAGGCGCAGAAGAACAAGGTACCAGCCTGGATAGAGAAGTGGCGCAAGCCCACCGGAGGGGAGTGGAATTAGCGACACCAAGCATGCTTGTCTCAAGCTGAAAAGGCGAATGCTTTGGCCAAAAAAGGCTTAACCCTCGAAGGAGACGCCCCGCCACATCTTCTCCGAACCCTGGACCCTATTTTGCCCGTCCCCTGCGTCCCTACACTGCCAGTCTCCGTGAGTCGAAGCGCTCCTAAGCCCGAAACCTTCAACCCGGGTCATGCAAGAAGTACATGTTGCCATGTGCTGCGGCACAATAGCACCGCAAAGTGAATACAGAGTGTTGCGTATCACGCTTGCTTTGTATGTACGGGTAGATGGGCATTGGGGTCCTCATCAAAACCACGTCACTGATTGATCGAATCCGGGAACCCAGAGACTCCAATATCCCTTAATTGAGGAATATATCCTAAATTCTAGTAGGATCCCTAATATGATGAAAGGTATATTCCTTAAAGAAGGGATATTGGGGTCTCTGGGAAAGGGGCCCGAATTTGGAGAACCTGCGCATCCTAAAGAGTCGGATCCCCACTGTAGGCACCCTTGCATGAAGGACCCCCTAACCTAAAGAAACCCCATCTCCAGGCAAGCATTATTGTAGTATTATAGTATTCTAGTATTCTAGCAGTGTAGTATTATAGTATTATAGTATTATAGTATTAATATGTTATCTTATCATACACCGGGCTTCTGGCCGGTGCGGCTGAATCTTCATCCTTCATGCAACAGTTGACATGGATTCTGGCTTCTGGTTGGGCTCAAGGCCTTTTGGGTTTAGGCAGGTTTAAGCACCCGACGATGGAAATCCTCTAGGATCAATTGGGCTGGGCCTCTCTTCTGCCAGCTCCACCAACCCCATACTATTGACCACAACCGCCATAACACACAACCTGAAGAAGATAGAGAGACAGATAGATACGCAGACAGACAGACAGATAGCTATGCAGACAGACAGATAGCTATGCAGACAGACGGACAGACAGGCAGACAGGAGACAGGCAGACAAAGAGATAGATAGACAGATAGGTAGGTATATAGGTAGGTAAGGTACGTATCTAGAAACATGTGCCGCTGTTGCACAGCGATGGCTTTTTAAGAGATCGGGAACGTCCAACATCCACAAAGATCCACGAAGAGTCGTCCCCTCTGCAGTGCCAGTCCTCCGACGCTCCCTCAGCAGGTGCAAGAAAGTCAGTCACGCCCTCAAGCCTCTGATTCAAGATTACACTGCAATAAATTAAACCCTAAACCCTAAACCCTAAAGCGACAAACAAAGATTTGGCAATCATAACCATGGCAGAAACCATCGCCGTCATCACAAGCAATACCGTCATCACCATCATCGCTCTCACCCTGATGAGCTTCTTGATACTCGTGATCACCACGGTCACCACAGCTATCATGGTCATCACCTTCCCTGTCATCCTCATGATCGTCACCGTCGTCATCATCATCACCATCACTTTGTAAAACAACATCAGGTGGCAACAACGAACATCGCAAATGCTACAAATCGATGTCACAAATCCAACAGCCACACAGGATGTTGATCATGGTACATCAAGCAGCACAAACGTGACAGAAGCATGCAATACCGATCGTTCAGCCTAAGGCCAGCGCCCAGCAGCGTCGCCGAAGACGCTCACCTCACCAGCCGATGCAGAAGCTGGGCCGAAGTAATGTCGCTAGTCACATCACCATGAGATGACTCGCGACTCGCGGAGTGATGCTTCCAAATTTGGCAGTTTGGAACACTGGCTCCACATAGCTTAGCTGCCGGCAGTAACGCGGCCAAACTCGTCCGGCGTGTCGTTCATTATCTGCACGGTTG